GCGGGTTTCGGGTTGTTGGTTTACTGTTCGGGACTCTTGGGCTCTACAGGGTTTAGGGTTCAGGGTTTAGGGTTTAGGGTTTAGGGTTTCGGGTTTAGGGTTTAGGGTTTCGGGTTTAGGGTTGGGTTTAGGGTTTAGGGTTTAGGGTTTAGGGTTTAGCGTTTCGGGTTCAGGGTTTAGGGTTTAGCGTTTCGGGTTTAGGGGTTAGGGCTTAGGGTCCTAAACTCGGGGCTCTACTAAACGTTCAAACCCCCGAAAGGCGATCCTTCCTGGTGCAAACCAGAAACCTTTATCGAACCTCTGAAGAACCCCTACAGTACCCTGGCATAAACTAAACCTGTACAGCCCATTAATTATTGGAGAAACCCTTACTATAGGGGCCTTAATAATTAGAATAAGGCTTTAAGGGCCCATTATACTAGAGCTAGAATAAGGAAACCCCAAAATAGCATAATTAAGTATTACCTTAAACTACCATAACCTGCATGTTTGTAGGTTCTTATTATGAACCCTAGTATAGAATTTATAGGGACCCTACAAAAAAGTAGGTTTCGGTATGTTAAGGTAAAGCCACTTTTTTACGAAGTCTCCTCGTCATCCAGGCGGGTGATCTTCGCCGGGGACTCGTCCGAGTCGGGATCGTCCAACCTCCGGGGCGCGTTGTCTAGTGAATTTAAGAAAATTAAGGGTTTTAGGGTTTTCGGGTTTAGGGGTTTAGGGTTTAGTGTCTTTAGGGGTTTAGGGGTTTAGGGTTTAGGGGATTAGGGTTTAGGGGTTTGGGGTTTAGGGGTTTAGGGGTTTAGGGGTTAGGGGTTTAGGGTTTAGGGGTTTATGGGCTTAGGGTCATAGGGGTTTAGGGGTTTAGGGCTTTAGGGGTGTAGGGCTTGGGGGGTTTAGGGTTTAGGGTTTTAGGGGTTAGGGTTTCGGGGTTTAGGGTGTTTAGGGCTTCCGTAAAAAGCGGCACATAATCAACAGATCCACCCATATTCCACGACACACTTTTGGGACACAGGCCTGAGGAATATACAGAAGATAGCATACGAGCTGAACCCCCATCCCCGTAAGGAACCACCACCAACTGAAACAACCACTTTCGAGCAGAAGCTAGACTCCACCGCCGCCTCCATATCCCGTCTATGGTACCATGAATACCCACCATGAGTTGGGGCGGTACGGGCTCTGCTGCTAGGTCTTACTTGAGGGTCCTGGAATCTACGCCAACTGTGCCAGCCGTCACCCTGCGAACCAACCAAAGCAACACATCCGAAGGCCAGTTTCCCAGCAGTGGGTAGTACGTCATGGTAATGGGCTCTGTAGGGATTTTTGTAGGCCTTGAGGAGAAGCTTTACTCGCTCCATCGGGGCGCCTGGGCATTGAGTGGAAAACCTGCAACCAACTCTGTGTTTCCCAAGCCCTGGGCACGGAAGCAAAAACCGACCATGGCCAGGGTGCACTTGGAGGATCACGAGACTTAGCAAGTAAGGTTATAAGTCCCCTGATTGGGGATATAAGAATAGTTACCTCAGTGATAACCCTACTTACTAAGTCCCATGATCCTTTAAGTGGGGTTCAGCGGACATATCGGTTTTAGTGGCTGTAGCATCCCCAGTACGAACTCAAGCCGATGTTGACCCCGTAGTCCCGGTAAACTCCCGAACCTATATGGGAGTTTCCGAAAACAAGGGGCTCCTGTTTCTGGGGTCCTTCTCAGGATCCTCCTGTTTAGGGTGCTATATTGGGGTCCCCTATTTTCGGCAACCTCCATATTCCCCAAACCCTCCCTAGACCCTTAACCCTAATATAGTGGCCTGATTAATTGGAAACAGGGTTCTGTGGCTCATTATACTATACTTATAGTAAGAAACGCCCACAATAGCGTTGGTAACTATTCCTAAATCCCCTGAACCCTCGGCCCCCAAATGGCCCCCAAACCCTAAACCCCAAACCCTATAAACCCTAAACCCTAAACCCTAAACCCTAATTCCTAAACCCTAAACCCTAAACCCTAAACCCTAAACCCTTCACCCTAAATCCCCCTACGTTAAGTTCACTCACCCCGGCGCGCCGAGTGATCTTCTCATCTGGAGGCTCCCCCGTCTCAGGAGGCTGGGGCTCGTCCTTGTCATGTTGGGACTTACATGGGAGTTTCAGAAAATTAGGGGTACCTTATTTTAGGCTCCTTATAATAGCGATCCTATTATTTAGGGTCCTGTATTAGGATCCCCTATTTTCGGAAACCCCCATATGGGTAGTTCTCTAAATTAGGTCCCTTTTGGGGTACCCTAAATAAGAGGTGCCGTATTTTAATAAGGTCCCAAAATGGGACCATAATTTAGAGAACTACCCATGGATGCGTAGGTGTAGGGTTTGATCAGTCCCTGTCATTCTTCCGCATGTGCTTGTGGCGGCGTGTCTAATAGGGTTGTGGGGTCCAGTATCGTAGAATGATACCGGGACGGTTGTTGGTGTGCTGCGGGTTGTTAGCGTGCTGGGGAGTTGTCTGCTTGAAGAGGTGTGGGTATCAAAGCATGAGGGCTTCAGTATCGTTCTTCATGTTCAGGGAACTCAGGATTTAAGGTGTGAGCATGTTGCTATTTTACGGCTTTTCAGTTGTTGCTTTTTAAAGATTTCAGGGTTTAGGGGCCATTGAAATCGTGCACCATCGTGGGCTGAGGCTGCAGATTTACATGGTGCAGCCGTCACTGGTCTAGGGAGCTTCGTTTCGAGCTTACCCCAAGCCTCAAGAAGAACCCTCAACATGAGTTTCGAGATTCAAGCGGTTGGGTGGACCGTAGTACTACAAGTGTCACCATAAATCTCCACACCTAAGCCTAATCCCTAGACTGTGTACGGTAAGCCGCAAACCCCTTACTCTGAAACGTACCGCATGCCTGTAAAGACCATGTGATCAAGGGTGCCATGCGTTGTATGCATACACGAACATGCTTTCATGCAGAGGAACAATTCTGTGGCCCCCGAACCCTACGATGAAATCAAATTCAATGCTCGGCCATTCCAGTTTGCGGGTACCCCAAGCCTCGAATGCTGTAAGACCAAAAGCCCGATCATGTTGGATAGGGTTTAGGATTTAGGGTTTTAGGATTCGGGCTTAGAATGCATCACAGAGCCGGGGGTAATCGAAAGAAACTCTGAGCCACCATGCGGGCTGTGCGGATCATAGAAGCAATGCTGAAGCTGACCTTGACTTGCCCTACTTCTGTCATAACCGATGAACCCCAAGCCCTGCGTCTCAAAGAAAACCGCAGAAGCCCTCCTCTAAACCCTTAAATCCTAAACTCTGTAAAACCTTCTCAAACCTCATAAACCCCTCTGAAAGCTCAGCGCTAAGAACCGAAAAGCACCTCCTCAGGAGGAACCTCATTCCGATTCTCTTCGATGGGCGGTAGTAGGCCCTCGGCAGAAACCATGGCAGTGTCTGTAGTGTTGCCACGGTTTGGGGCCATGGGCTTAAGGATTCAGGGCATTATTGCTAGGGTTTGGCGTTGACCAGGACCCCCTCAAGTACCTTTCCATGGAGAACTTATGGATCCCAATAGCGGGTAATGTAGGGGCCTTAATAATTAAAATAAGGTTTTGGGCTATATTATAATAATAGAATAAGGAGCCGCCAAAATATTATAGGCAATTACTAAGGCCCCTCTATTACTCATGGCATGAGAGACGGTTTCCGCTCGCGATCGTGATTCTGGTTGGTTGTCAAGTGCAGCAGACTCCTAAACTCTAAAGCCTAAACCCTATCTGGTTGGTGGTCAAGTGCAGCAGACGGCAGACTCCAACGGATGAAGCCGGAAACACGCGAATGTAATATAGGGGCCTTAATAATTAAAATAGGGTTCCTTTAGGGGTTCCTTTAAAGGATTCCTTTAAAGGGCTCCTTAGACGCCTACTATAAAGGTTTAGGGTATAGGGGCGTTAATAATTAGAATAGGGTTTAGGGATGTTTAGGGGGCCAGTATACTATAATTAAAATAAGGAGCCCTCGAAATAGTATAGGTAATTATTTAGGCCCCTACATTACGCCAACTCGCCCCAGAGATGGCTTCTAGGGCGTGAGGGTAACGAGCTTCCAACATGATCCCGATATTCACACAGTATACAGTAGAAGCCCAAAAGTTGGAAACCCAACAGCCTCAATCCTTAAGAGCATTGCATAGGGAATCCGAGCACTCATTGTCCTTAATCTGGTGTTCACAACTTTTGGGGGGTTTACGCTAGACTTTGGCCTTCAAGTAGCCTCTATGCAGCTAGTTCAGGGCCCAAGTGTATACTACGTAGATACATGGACTTTTGGGGACGTGTTCTAGAAGTGCCCTACTTGGAGGTTCATGGGTAGTTACAAGTGGAGTTGTAAGTAGAGGATCCATAACTATAACCTATAGTAGGGGACCTATAACCCCACTTATAACTACCCATGAAAGCCCTAAAGCCTAAACCCTAAACCCTAAACCCTAAAGCCTAAACCCTAAAGCCTAAACCCTAAACCCTAAAGCCTAAACCCAAAAGCCTAAACCCTTAACCAGAGACCCGACTGAAAGCCAAGAGTAAGCTCCTGAAGCTCTGAAGCCCGAGACCTCTGAGCCCGGAGGGTTTAGGGTTTGGGGGTTTTGGGTCTAGGACGGTTTAGGGTTTAAGGTTTATAGG